GTGAAACCAAGCTGCTTGCTGTAAGCAAGACTTTTAAATATCCATCTCAACAGACTTTGGGCACATAGTCAGGAGGGACAAGTTCTTGGAGGCGGACATCATACTTGGAAGGAAGAAGGGACAGTGCAGGGCAGGAAGACCCAGGATTATATTAATTTAGTGACTGGAAAAATGGCAGTCTGTCAGAAATAATGAGATTGGCTCAGTATAGGGCAGGTTCAGAACTATTGAACATAGAAGGGGTCACTACATGTCACAGGCTAATTGATGGCACATAACAACGACAGCAACAAACTCATAATGTTACTTATTGGTCCAATTGTGGGAATTTTGTTTTCTTTATATTTGAATGTAATCCTTCAATTCTTAGCCCAAATCTTTATTTTCAGCAAATAAAGCTATCTGCAAATTGTTACTATGTCTCCTTTAAATTCTAATGCCACACACATGTTGTTGGGAGGGGCCATTTTTTGGAAAAGGACATCATCCTGGTAGGCAGTGAAAGAAAGGAGGAAGGAAGATCCCCAACGGGAGAGTTAACATGGTGACAATGTGATGAGGTATAATAGAGTTTGTGAGGATGGTATAGGTATGGACAGAGTTTAGATGTGTTGTTCATGGGATTGCTATGCATCATAGTTGAGTAAAAGACACCCAAAAATGACAACAACTCTAATAACTTCAAGTTATTAGATATGAATGATTTGTCCACTTTAGTCCTCAAATTAGTATTTCACCCAGTTTTCTTTCTTTGTTAAATATTTTTACCCTACTACATGAGAAACACAACTGAGTTAGTTTTAGCAGTGTATGTCTTCATTGTACTCGTTATTATTTTGTTGTTAGGTTCCATGAAGTCTATTTTCAAGTTGTTGTTGTTGTTGTGTATTTTCGAGTTGGAACCAACTCAAAGCTGACCTTCTGGCAGGTTTTCAGAGGCGGTTAGTCGAATGGGAGGAGATTGCTCATCCTTCTCCCCCAGAGCAGTTGATGGCCTCGAACTGGGTGCCCTTCAGATTGCAGCGCAGCTTCTTGCTACTGCAAATTTAGAAACAATATGTATTTCGTTCTCTTTAAAAAAAATCCTAACCATGTGCCTTGAGTACAAATATTTGCAGAAAGATATTATTTGAATAATTCAAGATAATTTTCTCCCCATGTGTAATACACTTCATGGTATGGAAATTCTAAATGTGCTTTTTGGAATTTCAGCTATTAGTTAAAGGGGAAAAATAAAGACTTTTTTCAAAGAGGGGCAGCTGCATCTCTTTACTGCATGGTAAGAAACAAAATTGGGAAAGATGTACAAAAGCAGGTGGGAATTGTGAGTGAAGAGCTCTTAAATTTTATGTATTCATACAGTCATTTATTCATTTACTCTGCATAAAATGTTACTCAATAGCTCATCCATCGCACTGAGTCTCTATAGAGTCACTAGGTATGAGACATGCTTTCATAGTGCATATTTGGTTCATCTGGAGCTATCAAGGGATCTAAATTCTGTGTGTTTTACAAAATTAGTAAAGAGTTATTTAGCTCAATAACTTCCCTGAAAAACAGAGAAAAAATTTTGGGTGTACTGAGATAGAAGTGTTGGAATTCCTAAATGATATAAATGTTTACTCACTTGAGTGTTAACCTAAGTCTTATTTCAAGGCCACTTGGATGTGTCTAGGAAGAAAGACCTGGAGAGCTCCTACTGAGAAATCAGTCAGTGAAAGTCTTATTCTAAACACATGGAGTTTCTATGTTGTTGTTGTTATGCGCCGTCAAGTCCGTTATGACTCATACTCAATCCTGTGAACAACAGATCTGAACACTGACTTATCTGTGCCATTCTCCCCATCTCTGACGTATGGAGCCTGTTGCTCAAGTCACTGTGTCAATCCAACGTGTTGACTGTCTTTCACTCTTTTGTTGTCTCTCCACCTTGCCAAGAGTGATGTCCCTTTCCAAAGACTAGCATCTCTTAGGCAAAGGTGCCCAATGCACGTGTACAAAGCTTTGCCATGTTTGCCTCCAACAAGTACTTTCTTTAGGCTATACTTTCTCCAAGACATACCTGTTTGTTCTTTTGGAAATCCATGGATATTCAGTACAGTCCTCCAACAAGACAGCTCAAAGGCATTGATTCTTCTTTTGTCATCTTTAAACATTGTGCAGTTCTCAGAAGCATGGCAAGTGATTGAAAACATTGTGGCCTACATCTGGAACACTTTAGTCTTCAAGCAGATATCTTTCATCCTCAGTGATTTGGAGGGGTCTCTGACAGCTGACTTTCCCACTGCAATAGACCTCCTGATCTCCTGACTGTTGGTACCAAGTGTACCGACTTCTTTATCTTACATACTTGGACTCACTATGAGTCACAGTCAATTCAAGAGCACCTGAAGACACAGACAAATGCATAAATGTATACACAAAAAAAGTGTGCACATACACAGAAGAACTAGTTGCAAAGTGCATACTGTTTGGGGCTGCTAATAAAAATGGTCTTTTGGTAGCTTAGTGGTAATGATTTTGAGCTACCATCATAAAATTATGCAACTGTTCTGTAAGAGAAAGAAGGGCAATCCTCTCCTATGTTATTTGTGGTGGTGGTGTTGTGTAACATCAAGTTGGAACTAACCTATTGCTGATTATCCAGCATGTTTTCTGAGTCAGTTAATCACATGGGAGGAGATTGCCCTTCTAGTGGGGCTGAACTGCATGACTTTGGGATATAGCTTCTTGCTATTTATTGCCTCTAAAAACCCTCTGAAGGGTTGACTACAGGTGAGTCGGGTTAGCTACGGGTCAGTCCTGACTCTTAAATAACAACAAAACCCAGAAAGTGAGTAATTCTAATCCACCAGTAGTTACTTGGAATAAGGATGGGCAGTCTTCTCTCATAAATATTTGTAACTTTGTAAGTCGGATTTGCGGGCTATACAGTCTTTGCAATTGCATGCTATGCATTGGAGAGCTGGACAGTGACTTGGAATGATAGAAAGAGACTTGATGCCTTTGAGCTGTGGTGCTGGAGAAGAGTGTTGAATTTACCATGGACTGCTAGGAGAACAAACAGGTTTGTCCTGGAGAGGGTGAAGCTGGGCTGCTCCTTGGAGTCAAGGATTCCGAAGCTTCGTCTGACATACTTTGGGCATGTTGCAAGGAGGGACTGGTCCTTGAAGAGGGACATCATTTTGGGGAGAGTGGAGGGACAGCACAGGAGAGGAAGACCCTCGATGAGATGGATCGAATTAGTGATTAAGGTAGTGGGAGTAGGTGTGTCAGAGAAAATGAGGTTGGCACAGGATAGAGCAGGGTTTAGGGCTCTTGTACATAAGGTCACTATTAGTTGCACATGACTCGACAGCACATAACAAAGAGTCAGAAACAATATGACTGCAATTTTTTTGTTGTTGTTTGTATACACACACAAATATGGTGATGGTGGTGGTGGTGGTTGTTGTTGATTGCCATTGAGTAGAGTACGACTCATAGTGACCCTATGAACAAAAGGCCTAAAGCCCTTCTACAACAATAGACATTTATCAATGTTCATAGAGTTTCTGGAGGAAAATTGTTTAGGAAGTGGACTCCCTTCCTGCTTCCAAATATGTACAAATATGTATATGCACATGAATAAGTACCTATATCTATCTATGTATCTATCTATTTGTCTGTCTGTCTATCTGTCTATCTATCTATGTATCTATCTAATCTATCTAACTATCTATCTTTATACGTAGGTGATTAAGAATAAATGACTTTATATTAGAAGAAAAAATATTGTTTCTGAATCAAGATTAATTATAAGAGCTTCTAAGATTTACCAGATCAGTCTGACCTCAGGCCCAGAAGAGAGAGCACCCTTAAATTTGACTTGGAGAAAGGACAGCATCTCAGTATGTAGAAGTCTTTGACTATTTCATCAAATGAGTCTTCATCATCTGAGTATTAACATATAGATAGATAGATATGTACTTATTTATTCATGTGTATATACATATTTGTGCGTGTAGAAAAAGTGCAACAAAAACACTGCAGTCAACTCCCATTGTTTCTGGCTCATAACAACCCTCAATGACAATACATATTTTTATTATTAATGTTAATGAAAGTATTGTAAACTTGGGATTTTGCATTCACTGCTGAACTTTTATCTTTGCCCACCCCTCTCCCTCAGTTCACTTTTCTCTTTGAAAAGTAAAGTTCTTTTCTTGTTATATAATCACTTTCCCCAAGTCTACTTCTCTATGTAGCCTTCATTTTGGACTCCTGTCATGATAATAATACCTCTCATATGCTTCAATGCAGTATGCATAATTTATCCCATCTTTCTCAGTCTCTCGCCAACCCTGATGTCAGTCCCATTTACAACAGTGGCACTATGCATTATTTGTCCTTTTGTGATGGAGATATTTCACTCAGCATAATGTCCTCCAGTGTCACACCCACTTTTAAAGAAGACTCTCTAAATTTTTCACTAGTAACTACTGGTAGATTTGAATGGCTCACTTTTTGGTTGCTGTGAATTCTTTCCAAGCACAGTTTTCAAAGGAAATGAAGATTCCCTGGGATGTCTGTGGCTATGTTACATTTGAGTGTGAAATGACCAGAATTCAGAAGGTGGTAGGATTTAATGTTGCCGTTTGCAGGGTACTTTAAGAAATAAACACCTACTACAAATTTTAAACTCAGATTGTTCTTACAAATTACATTTAAACATAATAAAAGATGTTAAAAATTAGATAAACAACCTTTTTAAAAAGAAAAAAAAAACCCAGACATGCTCTGAGGACTGAATAAATTTTTGTCTTTGGTTAATGGCCAATTAATAAAAATAGTAATGGATAAAAGGCAATGTTTTTCAACATATAGTGAAGTCAGTTTTATATAAACTCATGTCACAATAGTCTCACGTGATAAAAGCATCAAGCAGTGATGCTTATATACTTAAGAAATTCTTAATATTTTATAAATATTAAATAATTATATTATACTTTTTTCCTTAGAATAAAAGCTTGAAAAACAAACTCTTGTCAGGAAGCAAGCTGTGTGGTATCCATGCAGAAGAGGTGAGTCAATTTTCTCTTCTAATTTCAAATGGATAAAAACAATATCAGTTTTGGATTGTTTAGGTTTTATCGGGGGCTTGTTAGCCCAGATGTTTGGATCAAGTCTAAAAGTAATAGTTGTTATGTGTCATAGATTTGAAATGCAGAGCTGAACCTCCAGTGTGTTTTCAGAGGATTAAATCGTGTAGGAGTGGACAACGCATCTTTCATCCACAGACTGGTGGATTCTGCATGCTTAAATGTGATCCTCTGACTAGTTAGAATAATATTACTTAAGAAATTAAAATTTAGGTACGTACAAACTAAAGGTTGATGTCTCATAAATTGGAAAATCAGAGCAAATAATTTGTAATTTGAGATGTTATTAGGCTTCTTCTGTTTCCCTTGTTTTCCCAATTTGTTATTGGGAGAGAAAGAAGAGTCTCCTTTTCTTTTCTTTTTTTAGTGTGTTTTTAATAATAATAATTATGATAATAACAATAATAATAATGTGGTTTGGCCAGTTCCTGATCATTTGTCACAAGAGGTGAAGATCATCTGATGATAATTTGAATAGAAACAGACAAGTTATTCTGAAATTTTCCACTGTTCCTAGAGCCTCCCTAACACTCCTGTAGATAAAAGAAGAGTGTCTCAGTGCAGGTGGTAGGTATCTGGAGTGGTTAGAATAAGAAAACTCTGGCTTTATTTCCATTTTTTAGCTTTGTATTCAGGAGAGATTTCTATTTCCTCTACTTCTCAATGCTTTGGAGGACATATTACTTTTACATGGGCTTTAATGAATTCCTAGATGTTTTGTTTTTGTGCTTGTTAACATTGAAATGCATTGTAATACGTGCATGATAATTTATTCATTTACCTTATATCTTTATTCATTTATAGAATGAATATGGAGTTTGACATTCAAGGAAGTGTGGGAGGGGTTATTTTGGTCATATCAACACTACAAAAAATATGGTAGCAAATGTCTTTATATAATTCACTATTTCTCATAACAAAGTAATTGTCTTTTAATGTTCACATGTAGTTTTAATATTTAAATTCACATAAATGTAAATGTAAAAATGTATTTGAATTTTGTAAATAAACTAGTAGAAAATAAAAATAAAATCACATACATATCTTTTCTATAGATTGCTCTAATATTTTGCTATTCAGAGATGAAAAAAATAAATATTACTGATTTAAAGGAGTTATAAGTATTTTAATTTGCCAAAGAAGAACATGGAAGTCAGTAGAAGCTTCTATGAATGCAGTAGTCTTACATCACTACCGTTACTATTTCTTGAAAGCAATGTTATTTAAACACCAAAGGAGGAATAGGGCAAATTATGGTCTACTAAATTAGACATGTTGTTGTTGTTGTTGTTGTTCATAGTGACCTTATGAAGGAGAGTCCTCAACGCTTGGGTGTCTTTCATCCTCTCTCCAGGTTCATAGGGTCTCTGGAGGCAAGCTATTATGGAAGTGGAAATTAGACATATTAAGCTAGTTAAATAATATTCAACTACTTTCTCCATCTCTATAATCCTTCATTTTAAAATTCTTCATTGTACAATTATCATATCACCTTGCTATGAAAATCTTATCACTGTTAATCTCCAATTGCATATAGATTCACTCATAGAGTAAAATGAAATAATATACTTTGATATAATGATATCTTAACTACATTCATTTTTAAAATGTGGTTAAGTAACTAAAAGCAATCAGTCAAAGTATCAGTTAATAAGCACTACAAAAAGAGATGCCCTCATTCAGAAAGAATTTATTTTTACTGTTCATATTCTATCATGAAATCTGGACAGGGCATTTTATCTTTTTAATTCACTTAAAATGAGAACAAGTAAGTAATGCACATTGAAGAGAAATAATTAATTACTAGCAGATAAAATGTTAGAAATTCTTTTTAAGATCATAGCAAAACTCATAAAATCTAACTGTTCAAGGTAATTTAATGTGAAAATGATATCCAGTATTTTGTCAGACTTAAGTGAAGTATACATAATATAATGATTTGTTTTAATCTTGAATCTAGTTTGAATAAAAAATTCAAAGCTATTCTGTCTATTGGGCATAACTCAAGGCACCTCTTCTGAACACACGGCACTGCTCTGTGGGAGGATGCAGTCTCCTCCCATGTGGTTTACTGCCTCTGCAAACCCACTGCAGGGTCAGCCTTGGGGTGGTTCTGACTCTTTAGCACATGACAACATGAACAATTAAAATGAATATTTAAAATAGTTCAAGTCAGTTCTTTCTTTAAATTAAAAAATATGTCATAATTTATGTAAATCAAGAGATATACTATGTTGATGGACTCTCAAGTCCATTCTGACTCACAGAGACTCTGAGGGGAAAAGAAAAAAAAAAAGATCAAAACTTCGCTATCCCGTGTTATCCTCATTATCTCTAATTTATTCAAGTCTATTATTGCAGTCATTCTGCCATCCATCTTGTCAGGGGTTTTCCTTTCTTCTCTCACCTTCTAGTTTTCCCAGCATAATAACTTTTTTCCAAGACTGGGCCTCATAGAATAACATGTCCAAAGTATGTAAGGTGAAGTCTCACCATTCTTGTTTCTTTTAAACACATTGATTGTGCTTTATATGAGACAGACTTGTATGTTCTTTTGACAGGCCATCAAATATTCAGTATCCTTTACCAACACCACAGTTTAAAGTCATTGATTCTTTTTTTGGTATCTGTATTTATTGTCAAAATTTTAAATGCATGTTGTTGTTGACTGCTGTCTAGTCGAGCACAACTCATAGTGATCCTATGAACAAAAGACCTGAAGTCTTTCTATAACTATTGTCATTTATCAAAGTTCATAGAGTTTCCAAAGGCATGTTATTTAGGAAGTGGATGCCAATCCTGCTTAGGAAAAAACTAAGTGGACAGGGTTAATAAATGATAAATGGTGAATGAAAGGCACATACAAAGTGGGCAGAAACTTAAGTTATGATGGTTGAAACGCATGGAAGTTATGTCAGCAATGGTATCAGATTTAATAGCAAAGAAACTTCCTCCCTACCCAAATAAAAATAACAAAATGTGGAAACTATTCTTTACTTAATAACTTTACAATAATTTTTTTAGCTCTATAATATTTTTTTTAAAACAAACAAAAAGACGGAACATAATTTCAGGAATCTCCCTACATATATTAGAAAATGTGGTGCAATACTAGGTGTCTTTATCCTTTCCTGCTCATGCCCCTTATGAAGAGACTAGAAACAATTGAAAATATCATTCTTGTGCATTCTTAATCTCTTCCATCCAAGCAGTCAATATTAATTTGGAAAGGGAAAAAAAGAAGTGAGAATGTAAGGCTGTCAGACTTTACTGGCTGTAAATGAGCCTTGGACAGCAGATTGGAACAGCAGGGAGGAAATGCCAATCAACTGTTCATTTGAAATTGCAAAAAATGATGGAAATGGTCCTTCTGAAATCAGTAGGTAAGAAATAATGATAGTCCTATCAACTAGGAAATGTCTTGAGATAAAGTTGATAAGACAGACACTATATCTGAAATCTCATTCCATGAGGTCACTTGGGAAACTGTCTGAGAGGAAGGAAGAGCTGTAATAGCAGAGTTTTGTAGTGGATGTATAAATTCAAAGACTTGAGGTCTCTAGTGTAAGGTTTTTATTTTTAAAAAGGCACTGTATATACCACTTTGGCCCTCTTTAGAGATATTCCTTATGCATTATATGTTTAACTTTCACTATTAATTTCAAGTAAAAGAGGGGCCTGTTATAGAATTCATTAACTAGTTTTATAACCAAATACAAAGTCTGGAAGTACAGAATTAAAGTGTATTAAGCACAATGACTGTCCGAGCCATTATTTCTTGCTTTTATCCTTCGCTTCTCCTGCTCCTTTCTCCTCCCCTCTCTCTTCAGTTCCCCCTCTTCCTTTTCTTTCAGTTCCTCCTTCCCACTTTCCTTTTCTTCTTCCCCTCCTCTTTTCCTGCCACCCTACATTTCCTGCTTCCTTCCCTCTCCATATTTCTTAATTCTTCTCTCCTTGCATTGCACCTTGCTTAATTTTTGTTCTTTCTTACTATCCTGTTGATTGAATAGTTCTGGAAATCTAGATGACTCACAAGAGGGGTGTCTGTAGAAACACCCCAAACCCCTAAAACCAAATTATGTTCCTGACATTAGAGATCATGCAATGGTGCATCATTCACACCGTTTTCCAAATTTCTAGTAGCGAGAAGGAAGGAGTTGGTCTCCTGACTCGAGACATGTGTTTCAAATCCACCAGCTCCTCTGCCTGAGAAAGATGAACAATCTCCTACAGTGTGTTTGCAGCCTCTGGAAACCTGAAAGATCAGCCTTGGGTTAATTCTGACCAGATGCACATAATAACTGTAATAACTGGAGTCTCTTACTAGATGCTGATTTTAGTATGAGGATATCCACAAACCTGACCACTCTCATAGGCAACTCTACTTATATAGCTTGGTTACATGTGTTCTGAATACAGTAGGGAATTAGTCATACTGCTTTTGCAGGTGAACCAATGAAAGACTTCTGTATACATAATCTACATACACAATTCTTTCTTTATACCTAGCCAGTGGGTATGCTGACCAAGCATGTAATCTAGGAAGAAGATTGTGACATCATGTTGAGGAAGACTCATCTACAACCTATGTTTGCAAATGACCCAAGCTTGCTTTACTGAAAGTGAGGAGGACTTGAAGCTCTTGCTATAGAACATCAAGGACTATAAGCCTTCAATGTGAATTAAATCTCATCATCAATAAAATAAAAAGACAAAAATTCTCACCAGCAAGCCAATAGCCAATATCATAAGTAGAGAAAAGATTGAAATTGTTGACAGTTTAGACTTTCTGAGATCGACAGTCAGTCAGCACCTTTGGCACCAGAAGTCAAGAAATCAAAGATCTCTTTCAATGGGCAAGTCCGTGGTCAGGGACATCTTCGAAGTCCTGAGGAAGAATGACAGCAATTTGAATACCAAGGTGCAGCTGATTCAGGCCACTGTCTTTTCAGTCACTTGCTATGCATCTAAGAACTGAAAAATGAGTAAAGATAATAAATGAATTGATGCCTTTTAGTTAAAGAAGCATACCAAGTACTACATGGACTGCCAAAAACAAAACAAAAAACACAACAAAAAAGAACTCAACCAGATATGTCTAGAGAAAGTTCAACAAGAGTACTTCTTGAAGCCAAGTTGGTGAAACTTTCTCTCATGCTCTGGACATGTTGTTAGGAAAGGTTTTTCCTTGAAAGGGGATATCATGCTTTAGAAATGTGCATCATCAATGAAAGAGAGGGAAACCCTCAATGAAATGAGCTGTCACAGTGATGGGCTTGAGGATATGAAAGATAAGGAGGATCGCAAGCATAGAACAAGGATTAAATCTGCTATTCATAGGGCCACTATGAGTCGTACTCAACCCAATGGCACATAACAAAAAAAAACATATACACAATATATTTGTGGAAAATTGTAAGGTTTTCAAAACTTTCCATTCTTTTGTCTTTTTTATTGAATGAACATTTATAAATCATTTTGCATTTTCATTTGATCATTCATAGACATTTTGTTTTAAAAAATTAAAATTGATTAATGTCATGAACTACATCTCAACAAATTCTTTTTATACTATTAATTTCCCACAATTTATTTTCTTTTTTTTTTCACCTCTCCCATCTTTCTATTCCCAGTTCACTGCTCAAGATTTATTTTACCTGTGTGTAAACTTTCGTTGCTGGTTTTATTCTTAAGTATCATTGAGTAGGAATTGACTAAGTGACCCTCTAGCCAATTTTCAGAGGCAGTAAATAACATAGGAGATTGTCCATATTTCTCCTGTGGAGCGACTGATAGATTCATACCAGGAGTCTTTCAGTGGGCAGACCAACTCCTTCTCACTAAGCCACAAAAGCTCTCAGAAACCTTTCGTTACCTTTCAATATTAGTAGTCTTCTAGCATAAATTGTGACAATGACTTTCATCATAATAATGTAAATTATCTGATCATATTACTAATAATATCTTGTGTTCACAGTCTACTATGGTCAGTTTTTAATTGAGTTTCATTGAGAAAAAATATACATACAAGAAAAAAATGTATTCTATTTAAATGCTTAATTTGATAGTGTTTATTTGGCATATGTAGTCATAAAATAACCACAGTCAACACATAAATAATTCTATCATCCCAGATACCTATTTTCATTCAATACCTACATACAAAGGATAGCTCAGAAAGACAAAGCAAAGTATTGTGATGAAATATACAAAGAACTGGAGTCAGAAATCCAAAATGTCCAATCTTGCTCAATATTTCTGAAGTAAAAGAAACTGTAGAACAAATTCAAGCATCTAGTTGCAATACTTGAAGATATTTTGTAAAGAATAATGAATGATCCAGAAAGCATTAAATGAACATGGAAGGAGTAAAGCCTCAGCATACCAAAAATAATTGGCTGACACAAAAGAATTTCATTAAACAACATGTAATCAAGAGGTAAAGATGATGAAGGAGAAAATTCAAGCTGCTCTGAAGGAATTGGTAAAAAACCAGGTCCCAGGAGTTGAAGGAATACCAATTGACACATTTTAACACATAGATGCTACCCTGAATGTGCTCTCCAAGTTGTGCCAGGAAATCTATGGGCCAATTGGCTGGAAGTGTTCCATATTTGTTCTCATTCCAAATAAGGGTGACCTGACAGAGTGTAGAGGCTATCAAACAATACCACTGCTGTAACATGCACACAAAGTTATTCTTAAGATTATCCAGATATGACTAGAATAGTACATCCACAGAGAACTACCAGAAATACAGCCTGGGTACTAGAAAAAGACATGTTAATAGGGATGTTAGCGCCAATGTCAGATAGATCTTGACTGAAAGCAAAGTGTACCAGAGCGATGTCTATCAGTGTTTCATTGACTATGCCAAGGTATTTGACTGTGTGGATCACAACAAATTGTGACTAACCTTGGGGAGAAAGGGAACCCCAGAAAAATTGATTGTGAAACCTACACATGGACCAGGAAGCAGTTGTCAGAGTAAGTAAACACTACTTGATTCAAAATCAGGAAAGGAGTGAGTCAGAAATATGTCATGTCTCCATAACTTTTCAATCTATATATAGAGCAGATCAGTCAGGAGGCTGGACTTTATGAGGAGTGTTGTGGCATCAGGATTGGAGGAAGACTCATCAACAACCTATGTTATGCAGATGGCACAATTCTACTCCCCAAAACTGTGAAGGACTTGCAGTGAGATTTTGCTGCAGAAGGTCAAGGACTGTAGTCTCCAATATAGACTGAATCTCAACATCAATAAAGACAAAGATTACTACCACTTGGTCAATTGACAGCACCAAGATCAATGGAGAAGAGATTGAGGTAGTTAATTTCAGTTTGCTCAGATCCACAATCCACACTCTTGGCATCAGCTGCCAAGAAATCAAAAGATGAATCGCTCTGGGGAAAGCTGCTGTCACAGACATCTCTAAAATACTTAAGAACAATGATGTCCATCTGGAAACTAAGTTGCACCTAATTCAGAGCATGGTCTTCACAATTACTTGTTATCTTCACAATTACTTGTTATGCATCAGAGAGATGGACAGTGATTAGAGTTGACAGAAGAATCGATGGCTTTGAAATGTGGTGCATTATATGGAGAGTGTGAAACCAGGCTACTCCTTGGAGGCAAGCTCTGTCTTGCATTCTATGGACATGTTGCCGGGAGGGCCCAGTCCTAGGGAAGAACATCATGCTTGGAAGGGTGGAGGGATTACACAGCAGAGGGAGACCTTGAATGAGATGGATTGACACAGTAGCTGAGGTAATAGAGGTAGGTTTTTTGGAGAAAGTGAGACTGGCTCAGGACAGGGCAGGGTTCAGAGCTACTGCACAGAGGGTCACTATGAGTCACAGATGACTCACCTTCATTTCAATCACCTGGCAAATCTGCTCTTATTTCTGTCACTGTCTTTTTGCCTTTTTCTGCATATCACATGAAGTAAAAGAAATAATAGATAACCTTTAGCATAAAGCTTCTCTGAATAAATATGATGTTTTATAATTCATGATGTTACATACTTATGTAATTTTTTCTTTTAAAACCTTTTGAGATTATTTCAGTATTCTATTTCTTTTTTTTTGGGGGGGGTGGGGTTTCATTCATTCATTGTTGCACTGTTTTCTCTACCCTCCTCCCCAGTTCGTTCTTCTTCCCCCACCGTCCTGAATGTCTCTTTTAATTATTCAATTGCCACAGTGCTTGTCAAAGCCAGTTCTGATTAAATCTCCTTTGTCACTGTGCCCTTTGCCATTCCCTATCACTCCTCCCTGAGAGAGACTTCACCCTGATTCATAAAGAAAAGGGGATGGCGTATTCTCTTAGCTACTTCCTGCTGAAAAGGGACGCTGTGGGTTTCAGGGTGAATGTCTTCTCTCACTACTCTAAAGAGCCCCTTTGGCAGTAGGAAACACATAGACTATTATGGAGATTGATTTTGGAATTTAGATGCACTGTTATCAATTGTGCTTAACCATACATGTTCATATCCTTGAAGATGTATCATGGAAGTGTTGCAGCCTAGAAGACACAAATTTAACTAACAAGTTAAAAGTACATGAGTCAAAAATTAAAAAGCAATAATATACTGAGTAGAGGTTCTAATAGTGGCACCAATCAAGTTACAGAAGGAAGGTAGTTCTTAAAATAAAAAGCCTATAGACTAGCACTTTGTCTATTATAGTGTAGAGGTTATGAACCTCAAGATGTAGAGGCTCAGCTATGCCATTTACGGTTCTTAAGTCCTTGAGCAAATTCCATCTACCACTGGGTTGTTTTATCAGTATTCTATTTCATGTATATAACAAAATTGGCTTGTCTACTCAATATTTAATTCATATATGTTTTAGGTTTTTGCTAAAAATGACTGTAATTTTCGTATATTTTGTGTTAGTTGCCATCAAGCCTGCTCCTATTTATTGCAACCCTACGTAAAACAGGAAGAACACTTCTGTATGCTGAACCATGTTTACAATGGCTGTTAGGTTTGATCCCATTTTTCCAACACCATGTCAATCCAAATTGTTATATGCATTGTCATTTCATTGAATTAATGCCTAAGAGATATTGCAGTGTTTTGCATTAAGTATATATTTTAAGAAGTTGCCAAAAAATGATTACATTATTTCAGTCTCACTCCTTTTAAAAAAGTTTCAAGTGTCTCAACAACCTATTTGTGCAAGTTATAAATCCTGAACAGAGAATGAAGACTTGGGATCTGAGATGTAGATATACAGAAGGATAAGATCTTTATGTTAGAAGGTGTGCAGTGATATCTCCTCTAGAGAATTGAAGACACGATCATCTTCTGTGGTATGCTAGAGTCTGTTCCAGGATAGTGGCCAAACACTGAGCCAGAATTCAGTTAAAAAATTTACTATTTGTAATGGCTTTCTTAAGAATCCATTCTCTTAAAGAGCGAACACATCTTATCTTATTATTGTAGCTGCTTTGTTGACTTCTTATCACATTCACTTTCTTTTTTACTCGCAACAATTATCAGGCTTGAGACTTCAATATAATTTACTTCTATCCCAAGAAATAAAGGAAGAAACAAAAGCTAAACAGTGAAATTGAGGCACACATTGCAAGAGACATAGTTAGCATTTAAAATTGGATTATTAGCCATAGAAGGAAGATTGAACTATGAGGTTAGACATAATAAGCACTTTAGATGGTACCTTTTTCACAGTGTGCTCCCTTTGAACAGACTTCAGTTTTGTCTTCCTGTTTAGGATGTCTGGTTGTTCAACTCCCAAAGTAGAGATTAAGCGTTTTGTTTCACTTCCAAATTGTTTGGACTCTTCTTTTGCTTGGCAACAGAAATCACTTGTGGATAGGCTGGAAGCTAAATCTTCAACTTTGGAAATAGAAATGAAGTAAGGTACTAATCCACGTTTCTGCTTTTACAGTCAAAAAAAATCCAAGCCCAGCTGAAGGAGCTTCGTTATGGGAAAAAGGATTTACTATTTAAGGTGAGATTCTTACTCCCTTCCTCTCTATTTTGTTAGCTCAATGTTAAAGTAACTGTTCAGTGTAACTTCCAATTTTTCCAAAACTTTCTCAAAATTAGAGTTTGATTTTATGGCATGAAAGATTCTTGCATTTTCTTGTCTCCTTAAATAAAGCAGATAAATGTGACTCTGATTTCCTGGGTAGATTCTTAATCAAGGGCAGGTATAATTCCCACTTTGAACCTTCAATTGTCTAATTTAATGTTGAAATATTTATGGTGAGTAAAGCACATTGTAACTAAGTCCCACTAATGTCTACATTTCTCACTTCCAGATCTCCCTGTATAAATTTATTTATTATTGAGTCTTTACACAGACTTATTCTCAATCATTTTTCATTACTGGTACTTTGTTTTCAAAGCTTTCCAGTGAAAGGTTATGGATAATGTGGTAAACTAAATAATGACTACCCAGATACATGTGTATGCTAATTTTCACACCCACGAATGTCAATTTATATTTCTGAGGGGATTTTACAGACATTGATTGAAGTAAGAATTTTAAAATGGGGCTACTATTTTGTATCATTCTAGTAAATCCGAAATGTACTATCAAAGGTCATTGAAAGAGAGACTGTCAAGGTGGTGGGGCAGAAATGTATTTGATGATAACAGAATCGTGGAAGAGGGAGAATGGCAATGAAAGTGATTCTAAACAGTGATTCTAAATGAAAATAATGGCAATGAAAAGGAACCAGGCCTACGGTTACCATGATGGGTTTTTTTTTTTCTAGATGAGTAATAAGGATTTGAGACGCCAACCCCAAAACTAGCAGTTTGAATCCAACAGTTGTTCTGGTGGTAGAAAGGTGGGCTATCTCTTCCCTCATAATTAGCTGTCTCTGAAAACCCACTGGAGTATCAGCTATGAGTTTATTCTGACTCTGAAGTTCATAACAATAACAACAAGACTAATTTTAGGCTTCTCACCTCCAGAACTGTAAAAGGAAAAAAAGTATACTGCTTTAATCCAATATAATTTTAGTATTTTTTTCTTTCTTTTTGGAGATATTTATTTTAGAACTGGAAATATTAATTAATCCATTTATTTATGAACAGACACAATATTGCATACAGTTAATAAAATGGATTCTGACTTTGGTACCCATTTCCAGAACTAACCAATAATTTTAGTAATTTTTATAGCAGTAATCTGAAACTAATAGACTTTCCTTTCTATCCCCTTAAGCAGAGAAGATAAATGCTAACTCTTTTAAGTGCTATTCTTGTAGGAAATCTGCATTGCCAAGTTTAGGATGATAGAACATGATACTCTTAGAATAAATAAGGAACTGAAACAACTTTAGTTATATTTTCTTTTACAAGGGCTTTCACTATATAATCAACCTAATCTATGATTATAATGTCCTAATAATCTCCAATGTATTGCTAGTCCTGAAATTCTATGATTTTTCCTAAAAGAATGGCTCATTTCTCCTCCTGAGCTTCTGTACTTCCAGGTTAGCATCAAAACCATCGTTTTACACTAGACATTAACATAAGATCATTTTCAATCTGCTTTTTAAAAAAAAATGTTTCTTGCCATCCTTCTGATTTCACTTAGGAAACATTTCCCAGTACCCTGAGTAAACAGAAGACTAATTTTCACCGATGCCTACAGAACATCAATTCATAAGCATTAGCTAGTTAATGTGATAGATGTTGTTGTTGTTGTTAAGAAGCATCGAGTAGGGACTGACCCATAACTGACTCCCCAACAGGTTTTCACAGACAGTAAATTGTATGGGAGGAGAGTGCCCATTGATCTCCCACAGAACAGCTGGTGAAGTCCAACTATGTGCCTTTGCTTGGCAGCATAGATCCGTACTACTTACTACGGGGGAGAGGTAGGGGATGTTAAAGGAAAAGATGTTTACTGACTTTCTGTAATCATTCTTGCTGAGATTGTTGAGCTCAGTTTTTCTTCATTTAAACATTGTTATTGTTATTGTTATAGAAAGACTCATAGTGACCCTATAAATAACATATCTAAAACTTACCCTATCCTGTGCCGTCTTCAACATCTCTGATATGTTTGAGCCCATTGCTATAGTCACTGTGCCACTCCACCCTGTCAAAGGTCTTCCCCTATTTCACTGACCCTTCACCTACCCTGACCTTACCTTTTTGAGATCATTAGCAATAAAAAGTTAAGACTCATAAAACCAAAAGGGGAGGGGATTTTTCTTATATGCAGTAAAATACCCACTGCCTTAGTGAATTAATTTAGCTTAAGGAGATGATTGTTTTTCTTAGGTGCCGCTGAGTGAAGTACTAATTCATAGTGATCGTATGAGCAACAAAGAGGAGTCTTGCCTTCCCCTGTGCCTTCCTTACATCTCTGATATATTTGAGCCCATTGTTACAGTCACTGTGTCAATCCACCTCCCTCAGGATCTTCCTCTCTTTCACTAACTTTTCCAAGCATGCTTTCTTTTTCCAAGAACTAGCCCCTCCTAACAAGATGGCCAAAGTGTGTGAGACAAAGCTTCCCCATCCTCATCTCTAAGAAATACCCCGGCTGCACCTTCTCTAAGCCAGATTTGTTCTTTGGGCAGTCAGGAGATGGCAGTACTCCTTCTTTAAAACCATAGCACAACGATTAGTACTGCAATAAACCCAAATCCCGTTCTCTAGAGCTCATAAATAAGTATTTGCCTAGGAAAGTTATATAAAATAGAAGATCATATGAAGATTTTTTTTTAAATCTATGAATATAGATTTTAATTCAAATTCAACCCTTTTGAAAGAAAAAATTTGGAGATGAGAACAGGAAATTTCAGTAAATCTAGGTGATCTAACTCCATTTGAAAATGCCAGTTGTTAAATAGATGCTTTGGGTAGAGTGTTAAATGATCCAAAATGTGTTAAAAGAAGATGGAAGGAATATACAAAGTTACTGTAACAGAAGGGATTGGCTGACACAGAAGAATTTCATGAAATGATGTGTGAGCAAGAGACTGTGGTAATGAAGAAGGAAGGTCAAGTTGCTCTGAAAGAATTAGCAAAAAGCAAGGCTCCAGGAGTTGACAGCATACCAATTGATGTATTGTAACAAACAGACACTGCCCTAGATGTGCTCACTAAGTTGTGCCAAGAAATCTGGAGGACAGACAGCTGGCCACTTGACTGGAAGAGATCAATATTGACCCAACAGAATGTGAAAATTATTGAACAATATCAGTAATATCACATGCAAGCAAGATTCTGCTGAAAATTATTCAAAAACAACTGGAGCAACATGTCAACAGAGAACTGCCAGATGTGCCGGCTGGGAAGAGGTCGTGGTACTAGGGATATTATAGCTAATGTTAGATGGATCTTGGCAGAAAGCAGAGAATACAACAGCAATGTGTGTTTGTGCTTCATTGACATAACTGTGCTTCAAAGGTTTTTGACTGTGTGGATCACAACAAACTGTGGCTGACTCTGAGAAGAATGTGAATCCCAGAACATTTGTGCTTATGCGAAACCTATATTGGACCAACAGGTATTTGTCACAACAGAGCAAGGAAATACTACATGGGCAAGGGATCTCAAAGGGATGCGTTCTGTCTCCATATCTTTTCAGTCTGTATGCAGAACAGATCATCCATAATGCTGGGCTGTACGAGGACGGATGTGGAATAAGGATTGGTGGAAGATTCATCAACAACCTGTGTTAAGCAGATGACACAACCCTGCTTGCTAAAATTGAGGAGAACCTGAAGAGCTTGCTGCAGAAGGACAAGGACTTCAGCCTTCAATACAAATTGAAGCTCAACATCAAGAAAACAAAGATTCTCACCACTGGGCTAATTGGCATCATCAATATGGATGGTGAAGAGATTGAGATAGTTAACAGTTTTAGTTTGCTTGGCTCCACAGTCAACATTCTTGGTACCAGCAGCCAGGAAATCAAGAGATGAATTGCATTGGGAAAGTCAGCTGTCAGGGACCTCTCCAGAGTACTGAAGAGCAATGACATCAGGCTGGAGACTAAGGTGCACTTGATCCAGGCTATAGTCTTCGCAATTGTGTGCTATGCATTGGAGAGCTGAATAGTGTTTAGGAATGATAGAGAATCAATACCTTTGAGCTGTGGTGGACTACTAAGAGAACAAACAGGTTCATCCTGGAGAGAGTGAAACTGGGTTGCTCCTTAGAGTCAAGGATTTTGAAGCTTTGTTTGACATATTTTAGGCATGTTGCAAGAAGGGAAGGTACCAGTCCTTGGAGAGGGACATCATGTTTGGGAGAGAGGAGGGATAGAGCGGGAGAGAAAGACCCTCGATAAGGTGGATCAATCCAGTGATTGGGGTAGTGGGAGTAGGTGTGTCAGAGACAATGAGGTTGGTACAGGATAGAGCAGAGTTTAGGGCTCTTGTACATAGGGTTGCTATGAGTTTCAAGTGACTCGACATCACATAATAACAACACTGACAAGTCCTATCATTAATTTTCAAAAGCCACTGTTGTCCTTTTTCCTTGTCATTATTTAATGAGTAAAGAGGACTGAAGAAGAAGAGAAGCCTTTGAATTATGGTGTTGGAGAAGAATAGTACAGTACCATGGGTAGAAAAGAACATGCAAATCTTTCTTGGAGGAAGTGCAACCACAAGTCTTCTTAGAAGCAATGTTGGTAGAAGTTCTTATCATTTTCACATTTTGCCAGGAGAGAAAAAGACACCATGTTAGGAAAGGTCAGCAGAAACAGGGAAGGATCCTCAGATGAGATAGACTGACACAGTGACGATAATGGAATGGAGTGTGATGGAGATCTTACTAATGCCGCAAAATGAGACAAAGTTCAATCGTCGTTCATGGGGTTGCTATGAATCCTAGTGGACTTGATGGGACTGAAGAACAATGACTGCTGTCAATCTGACCCCTAGCTACTGCCCTCCCCTTGTAAGTCTTTTTAGGAGGAGAAGGCTTATCTCCCTCTGGAGGAAAAGCTCATGGATGCTTTAGTGAGCAGAG